CTTTCCAAGGCATACTCCCTTTTCGATCTTAAAATATTCCACCAGCTCAAGAGGCCCAAGGAGTGCTGACTATTCCACAGAAATCTTTTAACCAAATTGGTAGCACTTTATAATTGAAAGGCCTGGGGGTAAGGAGATGGGGAGGGAACAGGAAGCCACCCACGTTGAGTTATCTGTTTTCTACTAGCCAGACTGGTTTAAATCTGACCACTTTGCTGTCAACTTTTTTTTAAAAGCCACAGAATTAATTTTTAAATGTTTGCTTCCCAATAATTCTTAAACGAGTTATAAAAACAGAAGTGACATTAAAACGACAACTATTTCTTTAAGAAAAATCTTCCTGTTAAAAATGTTCAGAGCTCTGTGACCATACAAAGTAACAACAAAACAAAAACAAAACAAAAAATCCAACCAAACAAAAAACAAACAAACAAAAAAAACCAACCAAGTAAATTCTTCAAACCAATTCCTACAAACTGGCTGTTAAGTAGAAAACTTACCTTGGGATACATTAAGGAGACTTACAACATCACTTCCTAAAAGGTACCGGTACCCACTTTTTGGCTATGTCACCACTTAACTGACATCAGAGATTTTACTATTCCTTTACTTGATCATAAAAAGAATGAAAATCTGAGGAATGTGTCTGTGTCCCGAGGTCTTCCTGGTCCCCACCACTGGAGCTGCTCATGTGTTTTGGTGGTGAGGAGTATCGTATTCTTTTTATTCTTCCTTTTCTTTCTTAAACGTTGCATGGCAGATGGGTGTCGGAGTATTTATTTTACTCCACGATCTATCATTTTATAGTTAATAATAGGGCAGTTCACAGAAACATGGCCTGTCCAGTAAGTGCACAACAGATCAGATGACAGTTAGGTTGAGAAGACTGGTGTGGGTTGGAAGGTAGACGTGCTGCACATGCTCTACCCGCGACCGGCAGACCGGACATGACTGGAAAAGAGAAGCCAACAACACCTGTCAGGACACCTTCGAGATGTGTCTTCAGTGTTCACCCGCGGTACCCATTACGTTCTGTTTTCTAAATAAGTTGCGGTCATAATTATTTTTAGTTTTTAATTGGTAGAGATCTTTGATTTCTCACTGGTTTGAAAGTTCATACTTTATAAGGAATTAAAAACGAATATTCTGAAAAAGCATAAACTGAAGGCGATTAATCAGGTTTTCCATCAAACTCTCAATGAGGCACGAGTAAAGTGATTCCCAAACACATCTTACTGTGCAATGAGGCTGTGGTCCCTACATGGGCAAATTACAACCCCTCAGGCAGTGATGCAGGACTGGGTTGATGCCACACGGCCAGAGTATGGCTCTGCTCCTACAGTCAAAGGCACAGGTCCACACCCCTGTTGGCTTCCCAGCAAGCACACCCGTTCCCCAGCCATAAAGGGAACCTTGGGCATGAGGGTCAGACTATGTGGGCAGAAAAGGACAAACCCATGATGGTTCCTGGGGAGATAACGTGTCATAGTAGCATGAGCTACGCTTAAGAAGGACATAGGCATCCTGTTGGCTCATTATATAGCCCTAAAAATAGCTCTGTAATTAGCACTTTCTGAAGGACTAGATGTTATTTAGGGCCAATTTTACATAAAACCAAAGTAAAATTTAGCAAACAATTCTGGGAATGAAAACGAATTGAAAAAATTATTTTAAGAGGAAATGTACAGTGCAAGGAAGGAAAAAATACTACATATGGGTTGCTTTTATTTTTGTGTTAACATTAAACTTTGACTTGCTAAGTTAGAGCCAATCCAAGGGGCCCCTAGAGTAATAAAAGGAAATTCATCACAAATAATCACAGAGTAAATGACCTACTCGTGGATAATTGAGAGTTAACTATAACCGACTCTTTTAAGTAAATAATAAAGACCATCCTCCTAAGTGTCAGCAAATGTTAGGCAACATGAAATGGAAGAAGAAATGCTGGACCAGCCCTCAGGAGGCCTGGATTCAAGTCCCCGGGCTCAGCCACTAACTGTGTGTGTCCATTACCTTGTGAATCTGAGCCTTGCTTCCAGCACTTGAAAAATGTCTGTAGTTTAGAGTAATTACATTGTCGCAAACAGTAATGCTTAATCCAAAATGTTTCCAAGGGCAACCAAACATAAAAGACCCTTTAAAGTCACCAAATGTAAGGACCCTTTCCAAGTAGAAGTGGACTTTCTCGGTTCATGCATTAGTGAGCCAACACCTGGCACGTAGCAGGTACTCACTGGCTATGAACTGGAGGGATAAGTGAGGCTGCCATGGAAAAGCAGGCCAGCTGACACCTCCTCACCTGGAGCTGAGCGGCACAGCCCTCACAGCACACGGTGTGGCCGCAAGGACAGAAGGCCGAGTTGATCTCCTCCTCACAGCACACCATGCATAGCATGGCTTCCTTCAGCTTACGCAGCTTCTCCTGGAGCACTCTGGTCTGCTGGCAGCTGAGGCCCTCGCAGCTATTGCAGTTTATGCCGCTCTCCGAAGACTTCAGAGGAGAGTTTGGAGGACTGTGGTCACTTCTCGAGACAAGGTCCACAACGCCGGCATTGTACAGAGCCCTCCTGGCATGGTCATACACCTCCTTCGATGTTCTTTTAATGTCGAAGACATACTTCTTGCCGAGGTTAATGTTTTCATTCAGAAAGAGAGATGCCAAGTGGCCCTTCAAGTCTCGGCTATACTGCATCATGACAGCACTGGTCACTGTATCACACCTACAGGGAGAGATTGAACAGCCACCTCAATACTCACAAGCCCAGTATTCCCGTGATTCAGACTATAAAATGCTGCGATGAATAAGAATATTTGTGTCGGTAGACATTTGATATTCTTGTTTTTATTCTTGAAAGTAAATTCTTCCAGTGTTATATGTGTTAAAGATCTCAATGATTCTAGCAGCCATAAATGTCGGGGACAGTGAATGTTCTCCATCTGCACAGGCATGAGCTAGTCCTAACCAACTAGTGACAAGACAAAGGACATTGTTCTTTGAAGTCTTGGCTTCATTTAAAAAAATTGCTACAAATTTTCCATTCTGCTCCACAATTTGTGTGACTATTTTACCGCAAAAAAGGTTCAGGTTGCCTGCCAATTAAATTTCTTAGCTTTAATTTTCCAAATATTCAAGTGAAATCACAACTCGATTTTAAAGCACCCTCTAAAATGAGAGTATCAAAATGATTTAAAAAGCTCTACGATGAAGTGAGGATTCAGGATAGCAGCTCCCCCTGAAAGGAAAGATGGCTTAGGTCACCCTGTTAGGAAAGGGCAGAGGTGAAACCACCTGAGTCATCTCGAGGAGAGGAGGTGCTGTGAGGAAGGAGCTGGGGGAGATAAGCAGGGGAAGGTGTCTGCGCAGCTCATACGTACGCACTTTCTGTGGGAAAAGCAAGATGACGTTGATAAGGACTCCACTGCCACAGTAGAAACGAAACGTTCGAAAGCAGCTAATTTCTTAAATTCTGTACAGGATTCACTGAAACAATGACACCAGAGACTACAGGAGCCTCATTGTCACCCGAAAACCTTAGAGCTGTGGACGGATGCTATGGCGACAGGATAAATAGCAGTACATGCCTGTAGAAAGCATGTGTCTCCGTGATTGCTCGGTAGAGCCCGCTGGCTGCCCTGGTGCTGATCATCTTAAACAAGAGCACGATGCTGTTCCCAGACTCCTTGGTGACGGTCAGGTACACATTCTTTCCTGACTGGGTGGCCATCTGCACTACAGGGTAAGCTATCCTGAAGACGGAAAGAGAAAAGTAAGCAAGGAGGAGAGATTTGTCACCATGTGTGCACCTTAGTAGGACTCCCATATGTTCATGACCCAGCAATAAAATCAGACATTCAGTCTGGGGCTATCATTTAAGTAAGCATTTTGCTCTCCAGTTACAAAGGCACACTGCAAGGCAATTGTGGATCAGTGGAGAGAAGCGCTGAAGTGAGTTATCGGGGGGTGTATGTGTGTGTATAGGTGAAAATGAGATTTGTTTTAGCAGTGAACAACTTATTTGAAAAATATTAAGACTGCCACATCAATACATTTGAGTTACTATTTAAAAAACAATTAAATGCTTATCAAAGCCTGCGTAAAATGAATGTTATGTATCAAAATGAAACACTGTATTCTTAAAAGGTAACTATTTGGTAAATCCCACTCTATTTTCATGATCAGAGCTACAAAGGTATACATATACTTAGGTCTAAAAGTATTTAAGACGTGGGTTACCTATTAATTGGGCTAAAGTCATCTTTACAAATTGAGATTCCTTCAGGTCCAACCCCAATGAGTAGTTTCTGCCCTTCGCTGTCCCTCACAGAATGCCATTCTATGCCATAGTTTTCCATTGCGGACACAATCTGCAAAACTTGGTATTCAGCTGAAGCCTGGCTGGTCCCCTCCAACTCCTTATGCTTTGCAACAATGCTGTAGGACACCAAAAAGGCACAGAGATATACAGAATAATTAAATTATACAGTCTTTAGAGATAAATCTCTATCATATTCACTAGTGAATCATACTGACACTATCATTTATGAATCACAAGAACGTAAAGCTACATATTAACATGTTTCGCTTAGTTAGCAAACTTACTATAAAATATGTCTAAGACACTAAGATATTGACTATTAAATATTCAGTAGAAAAAACTACTGGGGATGCTTCATGAGGGTGATTTAGAAGAATTATAGAAAATCTTTAATTTTTATGTAGGAACCTCTCATATATTTGCTTACTTTTGCTTTTATGTTTCATTATACCAGCATTATAAGGTATTGATTGGATTTTTTATGACTGAAAAATGCAGCATTTATTTTATCTGTTGTGGCATATAGCCTCTAACATAGTCCTTAAAGATCTCCACCTCCTGGTGCTCTCGCTCTTGGTGATGTCCTTCACCTGAGCATGGGCTGGATTAATCACTTGCTTCTAATGAACAGAATATGGCAGAAATGATGGGACGTCACTCACTTCTGAAATTAAGTCCTAAAATGACTTTTAACTTCCATCTTGGTTTTCTCTCTTGCTCTGACTTGGATTGCTTGTCCTGGGTGAAGCCAGGTACCAGGTAATGAAACAGTTCCATTGAGAGGCTCATGAAGTGAGGGAACAAGGCCTGCCAATAAGCCACATGAGTCAGCCTGGAAGCAGATCCTTCCCACAGTTGAGCCTTCAGTTGAGACTGAACTCTACCAATAGCTTGACAGCAGCCTCATGAGAGATCTTGAGCCTGACAACCCAGCAAGCCAGGATCAGATTCCTGACCCACAGAACTGTGAGCTAATGTTTATGGTTTTAAGCCAGTAATTCAGGGTAACTTGTTACCGAGGAATAGATAACTAAGACACCTGTTAGGTCTCTTGGTTTAATCCTTGCTGGGATGGAGAAAATTCCAATATACATGATAGACTTTTTATTTTAGGAGACTTGCATTCTTAAAAGGTCAGATATTTAAAAACTTCCTGTTATATAGCATTTCATATAAGGACATTTATTTGTGTGGATTATGTGTTACGTTTATAAGTTTCTCAAAGAAAAGGTTAGGAATCTTTTGAAAATAACCGGTTAAATTGGGCAATGGCTTAGACTTAACCTCGCAAATTATCTGTCTACACTACAGATCAATTTTCTTCTGAAAATTCTTATAAATTTGCTAGATCTTCAGGTATAAACACTAACCTTAACCGCAGCCTTACCTGTTCAAGGTGGCACTGGAGAGTTCCTTTGCACACAGCTCCTCGTAGCTGTACTTGGCAGTGTTCTGATTGTAGTCTCCAAACTTGGTCTGGGCCAGAAGGGCACTGAGTTCCACTGCCTGCTCTGGGGAACACTGGAGATGGCCAGCCTGGAGGGCCTCCTTGATATGCAAGAAAAAGATATGCCTGCAAAGCAATACAAGAATGAGGTTATGCTGGCAACTAACTTGATACCAAACTCGATCTGCTTACTTAGCATTTTCATAATCCCTTTTAAGTAAGGAAAACATAGCAATTTAAAAAGCCACCCTGAAAAGGCTTACATTAAAGAATCTTTTTTATCATGAGTATCCAGGCAAAATAAGTCTAAGGACTAAGTTTCTCTGGAATGAAAAGTATAACCCAAACATAACAAATCTAAGACAAATTCAGTAGTGTTCAAGTTACAAAATGTGAAATAATTATACACAAGTTTCTGTATTAAAATTTTTTAAAAGAAATAATCTTAATCAGAAAAACTTTATCTTGACCTGTAATTGATACCTTAAGATCCTCATCTTTACTCAAATGACCCCCAAATCTCTAGTCTTAGCCCCAACTTCTCTCCTAGGAATCAGATCCAAATGTCCAACTGCCCGCAGACTTCTGCACTTGGATGTTTTTAGTATCTCAATTTTAGCTCTAATTCAAAACTGAACTCAGTGTCTTTCTTCCCAAACCTACTTTTTCTCCCAATGAAAAGCATAGTCTTGTTATTTCTCTCAGACTTACTTTTGACTCTCAATCTTCTTTCCACCTACGTTCTATCTCTGAAAACACTTTAAATCCAGTTCCACTCTTCCTACTTCTACCTCCTCTGCCCTACTTGCATTTCTAAACTGTCAGAGAATTTACAATATCCTCTAAGCTTATCTCTCTTCCAGCGTCTGTGCTGATCTACTTTCCAAGCTGCTTCCTTCTGGTATGCACTTGCCACTTCTCTGCTCAAAATCCTTCAAGGGATCCCATTGTTCCCGAGGAAGCACAATGTCAGCCTGAACCCAGGCTTCTCCACCCTCTGGCCCCAACTTTCTAGCCACATTTCCTGTCATTCCCTCCAGCCACTATGCCCTGGGGAGAAGGAACAATTCCTCTTCCAGGAAAAACCAAGCACATTCATGCCTCCTGGCTGGTCTCATTGTTCCTTCTGTCTTGAAGGGCCATTCTTTCTGTCCCCTCATTTAGCTACATTTTCGTCTATATCACATGCAAACTATTTATTCCTATATCATGGTATTTGACATATTCTAACTTCTTAAGTGCCTCTACTATCAGAGAGCTCCATAAATGTTAAGTGGAACTGCATATTGTCTGCAATTAGTTTATATTCATTCCCGCTATAGTTTCATTCCATTTGACCTGTCTTAATCATGTACAATATTATATTCTACATTTACTAAAAGGTATGCTGTACTCAGAAACTCCTGGGAAACTTCAAATATTGTTGCCTGCCAATCCACACTGCCTAAGATTCTCAAGAGAGCATCTAAACCATAGACAGATCGGCCTAAGTTATAAAATTTGTCTCTGGCAAATGTATAGGTATAATCTTCCTTCGATGACTTGTTATAGCCTCTCAAACATGCTTAAAATGCCATAATATTCCTTAACAAATGAGTTAGGACCATTGGTAAAGCTGAGTGTTGCTCTGAACAGCACTCCTAATTTCAGCTCCCCACTGCAGATGGATACCCTCATTCCAGTCCTCAACACTGCTTTTATTTATGGACTAGTCTGTATTTGATGTTCCAGGTAGATGGGACAACATGAGCAAAGTAAGAAAGGGTAGAAACAAGGCTAGAACTATAAGGAGGGACTCTATGGAGAGTCTCAAAACATCAGGCTGACAAAAGCCATTAATATCCCTTTAAGAGCTATTTAAATGTTTCGTGCCTTCTATAATGATAAAGCAATGTTTAAAATGATCAGACTCTGCCAAATACTGCAGTTTTTTTCCTTTATTCAAAGCCCCTACGAAGAAATCACAGTAAGAATGCACAATAGAAATGAAAGAAGATAAGCATGGTTTTTATTAACCCAAACATCTGCTAGTCTTTAAAGTATTTCTGACATACTGCTAAACTGAGAAGGGGGTCCCTACTGGGGCAAAGCAATAACCACAAAAATAACTTGTTTTAAAATAGCTATCTGAGGACTGAGGCCTAGCACTGTCATAAAATCTTGCTGTTACAGCATTGCTTCAGCCCTCAAAATGCTTTTTTGATGACCATTCAGTAAACTTCACCTTGGTTAATATACCTCTGTCTCTGTATTCATGGGGGGTTAGTAGGAAATGAAAATCTGGATATATGTTTACATTAAAGAAGAAATTATGTGCTCAAAGACTGTTAAAGAGTATCACCGCAAACTGTTTTCTCAATTTAATTACTGCTTATGTGAAAGTTATCTTTTAAGGTATTTCCCACCTATCAAATTAGAGACTCGTTTCTGCTTTATTAAAGAGTAAGTATAACTTGCGAAAGAGTTTCAAAATTGATCCAATTTCTTTTTCCAAACTATCCACGCCTACTTCTGGAGAGACGGCTGCCAAAATCAGAGGCAAAGCCGCAGTAACAAAATATTAACAGGTGGTCAGTAACTCAGGAGTAATGCTGATCCTTTCCCTGCATGTAAGTCAGAAATAAAAAAGGGGACAGGGGACAATTGGCCTTTTCTACATACTTCACATTCTAGGCTGGACTGCAATCAATATCCTATGAGCAGGAGAATCCTCCTCCTTTCTGTTGACATAAGCTTTCTGACAGAGCCCTTCCTGCATTTTTCAGTTTTATGGCTATAAAGCAACCTTCTCATTTCAAGTCAAATATTTGTTGTGCTTTGCCTCTGTGCCAAATCCTATGCTGGTGTTACAGGGTGAACATGGCTGACTGTTCCTTTTCAGATGAAACTTTTAGTGTGAAGGAACATATCCTATCAAAATAACTACAGCCACAAATTGGCTTTTGGGGAACCAGTTTATGCTCTCTAGGAGAACAACACAATGAAATGGTGACAGCAAAGGAGCCACTGGCAGACTCTAGTTAATGTGCTCTTTCCAAGAGGGAGGATGGCAGAGCACAGAGACACATTTCCAACAAGGAATCCAGTGCTGGTTCAAGAGTTAGGAATGGTTTCAAATCCAATATTTTCTCCTATTGTTTTCTCTCGAACCATCTGGCCTGTAACTGTCTGGCTCATGGATTTTCACCCCCCACACCCTGTCCTTATTTTGTAAAGTGGGTGAAATGTTACCAATATTATCAAAAACAAGCAGATGTGGTCAAAGAAGTCATGCATGCAGTGAATTGTTTTTGTTTTTTTACTAAAGATCAAAAGTGGTTAACATAACTAATTCAATTTAGGCTACATGCTAGAATCACAAACAGAATGAAAGTCTTTGGGGAAAAAAAAAACTATTTTGTTTGTCTTAAGCAAATGTCTGTAGCTATGTCCTACAGACATAAGCTCAAAGTACATTCTCTAAACATTCTTCTGGTCATACCTTGAAATTCATGATTATTCAAGTTTTACCTAGTTAGTAAGAAAATGAATATTTTCAATAGATGAATCACATTTTAGCGCCCAAAGTGAAACATTCTGGTTAACTCATATCTTTGCTTCATGGATACAAATGATTTCATACTTACTGTAGCATTATGAACATTATGGAAGACTGAAAAAAATGGAGTGAAAAAGGATATGCTAAATTTTAATTTAAAAAAGTCACATATTCTTAATATAGTTTGGTTTCAAAGTACTTCGAATTTCCTCAAATCTAAAAATTCCTTCCCATTATTATAAGGAATTATGTCATTTATCTTTTAAGAATTGTAATTTTGAGAACTCTCCTCTACACACTGGCTTGTCTCATAAAGAAATCTTCTAATAATCAAAGCAGAACTTTCTGCAAACCTATCTGGAGTTGTCTATCTACTCATCACAGATGGTTACTCCCAATTACTGCCCTCTGGGTATCTTCCCAGTTACATTGCTTTAAAGAGCTTTTTGTGACACAAATGTAAAACAACTATATCCACATGCACTATTAAACTCAAAATTTAAGTAACTAACCTAAAACATCTTTAAAATGGCTAAGGAGCTATTTTTAAAAACATCCCAGTCCCCAAAATTGAACTGTATTTCTCCCTTAAAAGACCTGTGTGAACCTGGCCACCCGTTAGTAGTTAGTAATGGCTAGTTTGTCCTTCACCTGGTTAGACCCACTGAGATCATGTGTATGCCTGCCTCAGTCCAATGAGTCGCTTAACTAACCACAAAAGTTTACTTTAAACAAAACTCTGACTGCCAAGTTATATATAAAAACTACCAAATCAAAACAGAATTGCTGTAAGAGTTTATTGTTTTGCATCTTAAGTTCCAGGGAAACAAAAATCAGTCCAAGATGGATCATAGGCCTAAATGTAAAAGCTATAAACATAATGCTTTTAAAATGAAACATAAGAGAGTATTTTCATGACATAGGGGTAAGAAAAGGTGTCTCAGGATGCAGTCAGCAAAAATTATAAAAGAAACAAACAGATAAATTAAACTTTACCCAAATTAAAAACTTCTCCAAAAGGCATCAAGGAAGCAGGTAAGCCACAGGAGAAAATACAGTATTTACACAACATCTGACAAAGAACTAGTATACGTAGAGAATTTGTACAGCTCAAAGATAAAGACAACTCAATAAAAACGGGTGAATGACTTGAACAGACACTTCACAAAAGATGTACAGACGGCCAATAAGCACATGAAAGAGTACTTAGCTTTATTAATCAATAGCAACATACAAATTGAAACCACAGGATGCTACCACCACATACCCACCAGAAAGCTGGCAGGGATGTCGAAGAATTGGACTCTCATACATTCTTGGTGGGAGTACAGAATGGTACAAGTGCTTTGAGAAAAGGTCTGGCAGTTGCTTGCAAAACTACATGATTACCTACCTCTTCTATGACCCAGCTATTCCAGTCTTAGGTATTTATTTACTCAAGAGAAATGAAAACACATGTCTACCAAAAAAAAAACTTGTACTTGAATGTTCACAGCAGCTTTATTCATAATAGTTGGAAAACAGGAGTGTGGATAAACAAACAGGAACAAGACACTCATGTATACAATAAGACAGATCTCAAAAAATA